AAAACATCAGGTTAGCTCAGTTAGGTTTAGCAAGTATGGCAGTGTACAAAAGATTCTTTAACCAGTTCACTGGAGCTGGGATATACATTTCCCACTGCACTGGGAAATATATATCCCAGTCTCAGTGAATGGGTTAAACATAACGTTTCTCTAATTATCTAACTTTATTTTAAAGCAAATTATAGGTTGTAGTAACCATTATATGTTGGAATTTTGATGCATGAATTACAATACAAATGATCAACAATGGCATAATACTTGTGCATTAAATAAATGAAGGCCCTTTAAAATTATGAAAAACTCAGCATATTGGTAATCATATATTGAATGAAATATTTTCACACTGGAATTAGATTTTTGTTTGAGTAAAAATCAATTCATGAAAGGTTTGAAATACTGTATCTAATGTTATGAAGGATGAGCTGTCACCACGAACACCTTTATGAAAAACTGATAACAGAAGTTGTTAACAATGAGTAGGTCGCATGTTGATGCTACTTCTGAATTCAAAACATAATCCCCATAAAAACATTTGCAATGGCAAGTATTAAAAATCTTAACCAGTACAAGACTGTTCTCACCTTCCTTATCCTGGATCTTTGCTTTCACATTCTCTATGGTATCACTGGGTTCTACCTGTTAAAACAATAATTCTCAAATGTAACACTAAAAATAAACACATCATAGTAAGCTTTGGTTAATAATTTTAGTAGCATTAACCTAATGATCAAAGTGCATAGTAAGTTCTTACCTTGGGAAAAAACACCATAGAAAACATTCATTTTCTGAAATGTCAATTCCAGTTATGGTTGTAAGTTATATTTCATCAGCATTAATAACTTTTCATTCAAAACATTTATAATCAGCTAAATACAGCCAAACACAGTTTTTAAGCTTGTTAACGCTATCTGCCCGACCATCATTTACTGCATGTCACAAGGTTTTACTGGATTACATTCAAAATTTTATTAAACGTTTTGTTTTTGTTACACCAATTAGTATAGCATAAGATCACAACTAATAATCCATTTTTTAACATCTTAATTTTATAAGGCAATACTTTTAAAAAATCCTGAATTTCCCCAAGTATGAGAAAGATAACAGATTTTTTGTAGGCATTCCATCTTCTGTATTTCATTCACCACCCCCTACAATTAGTATGAAAATTAATGTAAATTACTCACTACAAAATTGTCATTGCTCAGACAAACCATAATTTTTATAGTTTTGAACTTTATTTGGTTACAGAGCCATCAAATAGAAAATCAGACCCCCTCTTGCCACACCCACCTAACACATCCTCTCTTTCAGGATTTATTAATAATTCTCTCATGTTTAATTCTGTATGATCTATAACCAATAGAAAGCCAAGGTTTTCATCTATCAAATGACATATTATATTACAGAAAGAACTTGTAGTGAGAAGCTTAAATTATCTTCTTCATATGTCAACTCAAGACTAACAAATGAGGCAAATATACAAAAGTAGTAATATTTTCATAGAACTTCTTGAAAATAATAATAATAAACTTACCTCAAGGGTGATAGTTTTCCCCGTTAATGTTTTTACAAAAATCTGCATTTTCCCTAGTGGAAGCTGTAAAAAAGAAAATACTTTCAAAACCTCTCTCAAGTCTTAAACCCTAGCTAGCACTACAAGTGGGTCCTACCTGCTTTTGAAACATTTTTCTATAGCTATTTATGTGCAAATTTGCTCTGGTTCCATGACTGCTGGTTGAAGGGTACCTAATGGTACAAGTCACAAAGAAATTCTAAACTGCCGTCAGTATTGCAGTTAATCCCACTAACTATTGTTGGAGTTATAGAAAATTATTCGATTTTTTAAAATTCCTACAGTGTTACAGGATGGACAAATCAAATTTGGGGTCATCTTTAACCTTTCTATTACAGGTTGGGTGGAATACACCATGATTTTTGATAATGTATGCACACCTTTACAAAATTTTGCAGGTTATTGGTAAACATTACAAAGAACATTACATAAAATATCAGGTTTTTAAATTAATTAATTTTATATTAAGATTTTTTTATTAAAGATTTTCTCGTACACCTTTTTCTTTCAGAATGTTGACTATCCAACATGCAAAGCAATTTTGATTTTAAAATTAAAAATACTTTAATGCATTAGAACATTTTCAAATTTCACATGCGGAATCATTATAACCCCAGATAATTATAAAATTTTTTATTTGTTACTTCCACTACTGTATTTCTGCACAGCTTTGATCCGATTTGACCAGCTTCATAACCTCAATAAATAAAATTAGGAAAAAATATATAAATTATGCTTTTTTGTTTCTCGAACAGCTACAAATTATAACATGAAAACAAATGTTTAGACTAAATAGCTTAAATCTCATAACATTATACATTTAACCTTTCAGCCATGCTTGGCTAACAATACAGAAGTTGCAATGGCACGTGCACGTGCACTCGTGTTACCGTATCCAATAATATATAACTGACCTTTAGTCTTTACAAAGTGACCTGTCTTGGCTGTGTTTTAGTATTTTGTAAAATACAGTCATATTTCAATTATTATACATTACATATGTACATGCATTATTACTTTTTACAAATAATTTCTTAAACTTATCTTTCTTAAAACATGGAACAGTAAATAAAGAAGTAAAGCAAAAAATTATCTCTTTTAGTTATGACCTTTGTACTTGTTTGCCACTTGTCGTAGGTTGCTAAACCTTATGAAATTGTCCACATGGAGGATATGAAAAGAAATTTTTCTTAGGTTTTATATATACATTTTAAATAGCCAAAAAATCACACATTACTATATCAATACCACAGAATTCCAATATAATTTATCAAGCATAGTAACTAAGCTATATTTGGGTCTAACAAATATGCAATTTCAAGCTCACTACAGACTTACCTTATTGTTTGAAATCTTGTGTGAAAAGAAATGAAATTAACACATCAAAATGGCTGAGAAAACCACTAGGGGAGCATTCTGAGCTTTCGATTGGTTATTTGTGTCATACATAGAAGTGTATATAAGGGATCGTTTCCAAAAATGGAAAAAGGTAGTCAGCATGCCACTGTGTTTATTACATGAGCAATATCTTACCAAATAGAAAATATAAAGTCTTCTTATTTAACCCTTTCTCCATGGGTACCATTTATTGTGCATGACCCAAGGTTTTAGTGTCTTACATTCAAAATTTTCTTATACTACTTTTTGTTTGTTATACCAAAAAGAATAGCATAAATTCTTAGCTTATAATTCATATTTTAATAGTATACAAGTTAACTTCTTAATTATACAAGGAAATATATAAAAAAATCTTGAATATCCACTATTGCGACGCAGTTGACACATTTTGTCTTAGCATGTCATCACCACTCGAAAATGTACAAAATTAAACGTAAAATACTATCTATAAAATCATTATTGCTCAAACAGACCGTAATTTTTATAGCCTTCAATTTTGTTTGGTTATAGAGCTATTGAACAGAAAATCAGACCCCTCCTGCCACATCCTCTTTTTCACAAGTCTTTGATAGTTCTGTCTCACTTTTCATTATATATTACCTATAACCAATAAAAAGTCAAGGTTTTCATCTATCCAATTACGTATTGTTTAATGTTGTGTTCTGTACAGAATATCATCAACTTTACTCACAAGACAAGATTTGTTCCCGTAGGAAAGTTAATGACTAGCTTGGATGAATTTGTAACGGCTCTTGTTGCATAGTTAGAAAGCCAAGAACATTTTGAGAGGTAAAAGAAATTGTCTACTTTTTGCATGTTATTAATTTATATGTTTTTGTGCATTAATATCTATAGCATAAAAAATTAGGGTTAACCCTCTTCAAAAACTTGACAAGAAAAAAGATTAGGTAAGTACTTCATTTCTTATTTTTCATATTTATTCTTCATTTATTATTATAAAAGTAGCTAAAATAAAAAATATGGATCTTTTAAAGTTATTTAAGATTAGATTAAATAAAATAAGTAATAATAATATAATTAAAATGCTTTATGAAGCATGCACTTGAGCAGTTCGTGGGTAATGTAATTTGATAAGAGTAACGCGTGCTGCACATTTCCCGAGTGATTTACATCTCATACTGTAGTAGTTAGACACGGTACAAAGGGCAATAACACAATAAAATTTAATTATAAATAGATGTACACTGTTATGAACTTAGATCTACTTAGGATAAACGAATGTAGTTTCATGTTACAATTTGAAGTCAT